CATAGAATACATCATAGCAGATGATTTGTAGAATTAGACAAAATCAGCATGAGATTATAACAGACAACTCATGCGTAACTAATTTACTGGGATTTTTAAAAAAGAATTTGACGAGTCAAAGTGATATGTGTGAATGGGGGTATGGTATATTTGGATTTTGGGAAAGTTTTCATTAAGGCTTTACAGAAGAAGTTAGTAGCTAAAATTATAGCAAGTGTGATTGGGGATAATTTTGTAAAATGGACTGAGAATTGGTTAACTGGTCAATTAAAGAAAAATAGAAAAAATGGGTCTTTTTCCGGTTAGTGGATGGTCGCTAGCAGTGTACCACATGGATCAGTACTTTGGCCGCAGATATTCAGGATATATATATATATAAATCACTTTGATGAAAGAGCCAAATACAATATTCCAAGTTTGCTGACAATTAAAATGAGGAGGGGCTGTGAGTTATGTGCAGGATGCGACGAGTCTTTAGGTTGACCTTGATATTGTGGTGTGCGGCCAGACTGATGACAGACACAGTGTAACATGGATGGACATGAGGTTTTTTTCGTTGGTGTGAAAAAACAGAAAGACACAGTATTACTCATAAATTTGTTGTACAAAGGAATACGGATGCCTTGTACACTAATGAAAATAAACTGGCCAGTCTAGTAAGTCATCAGGATTGCAAACAGTACATTGCTCCTCACTACACTCATCATCATTCTTAACTCCAACTCCTTTTCTTCCTTCTTCCCAATCCTCAACAGCACTGTCATTACCCCCACCGCTTTCAGCCCTCTCTTGTATTTTCCATACCCAGCAATCCCTTCTCATCATTTCCCATCTCTCCCACTCACCCCAAATGCCTCCTCATCTTTCCACCTTCTGCTCACATCCACCATCATAATCCACCTCCGGACTTCATGAAACACCCTATGTCTCAGGAATATTGGAGGATTATGGTCAGTACCGCTACAGGGAAAATTAATGGGAGGGTCGAATGGAATTTGGAAAGTATGAAGGATTTGACAGAGTAAATAAGGAGAGATTGTTTCAGTGGTAAACGGATCACCAACCGAAGGATAGAATGTAAGGTAGCTACAAAAGAAGCAGAGTGAGGTTTATGGGGAGCTTCACACAGCCAGTAATGAATGCGGAGCCTCCTAGTGCGGCGAGGGAAGATATAACAGTAACTTTCAAAAATTAACGACGTGAAAGCTTCAATGTAAAGAATATTCGAGAATGGGGTGTGGTGGCAAGACAGCAGGAAATGGTGCTAAATGAACTGGACGGGCAGCAGTTGAATGTTTCAATCAAGGTGCCTCTGCAGTCACAAAGGCCTGTGGATGATGCGCTCCTTCTGATTTTAGGATCTTGTGTTGCTCCCACCTGAAACAGGTATGTGTTCCCTCTGCCCATCTCAGGACCTGACCTAAGATGGTGTTAGCTCATATATCAGAGTAAAGTTTAGTCACGTTTCCAGATAGCTGTCATTCCATTCAAACTGTCTGGAGGCTCCTAAAATCATTCAGATGAAGTTGGAATATATGGCAAACATACAGAAGGTATGGAGTAATATCTAATTAAAAAAAGTGTCGAATTTATAATTCTTGGATTTAATTAAGAAGCCAATTCAGTTTTGATGATTACGAACTCTGGTTCTCCGATTATTTTTGATGAAGAATGACATTTGAAATTGATTAATGATCACACAAAGTCACCAACATCCCAAGAATTTATATTGTGGTATAAGATGATGATAAACAGAAAGAATTTCTTGTACAGTGTGTTTTAATATCAGTTTTAATAGAACAGATAATTACGTTATGTTTTTAGGACAATTTCACCGATGTAGATGGTGGTTGACAGATCAATAAACCAGAGACAAATCGTAACTCTAATTCTACTAACACTCTGGTGTACACTAAGGGAACTCGATTTATGTTGTTAAACATTATCTGTTAATGACATTTGCACCCGCACAGTTCACACGTCATATTCTCTGGAGATTGACAAATCAATCTTCACTGCAGTCTTACCCCATATAAATGTACAAGATAGTTTCCTCTTTCAAAGTGAATTAAAATCTGCCATTAATTTGGAATGTATCACTACAAGTAAAAGCTGTGCAGTAATACCCAGTAAAACAAAAATATGTGTTGAGTTTATGCTTCTTGGGTTCAATTAAGATGTCAATTCAGTTTTGATGAACGAAGCCCTTGGTTCTCTGAATTTTTTTTGTTGAAGAATCCCATTTCCAGAGTGTTCTCTCCACCTGTGACTGAGACCTCCCCCCATCAGTTGGCAGGAGATAGGGGGACGGGGTGAAATTATGGGATGGATCTGTCAATGCCCTTTAATCCCGCAGATTGTCAGCGGACCCGAGTTTTTCCCGTCAACGTTTGGTCCCGTATAGAAGAAGGGAAAGATCTTCTCAGTGAAAGTGTCGGTGAAAGTGTGAAGATGGGACATGTCGTTCGCATTGTAAAATGACACCTGTCCATCCTCATAGTCCAGGAAAACCCCGATCTTCTTGGGGTGTACACTAGGGGAGAGGTGGGTTCGTGAGGGGATCGTGGCGGCAAAATAACCACTTCCGGGACTGAGCCTCACAATCCAGTGACCGGATTCCGGGCTTGGGTAGATTCCCCTTTTCCTCTCCAAAGACTCCCGGGCCACTCCCAGGGCCCAACGGATCTTCTCCCCCACCTGAACCTCCCAGTAATGTCTCCCTGATGTGAATCCCTCTGATCCGAGGACACAGAACCAGGGATCAAACCTCTCCGGGGAGTCAGGGAGGGGCTGCGGTTTGTCTCCGAGACTCACACTGGTCCGGTCCTCAGACAGGACGAGCTGGGTATTCGCTGTGTTCGGATCCAGAGTCAGAGAGGCTGGAACTGGGTGAGGAAACAAAACGAACACTGTTAGTGACAGAGAAAGGGAGGGTGGTGAGTTAAAAAAATGAGGCATGGAGTGTGTTGTAAGAATGTGGGAGGGGATAATGTGGAAGAGGAGGGAATAATGGGGCATAGCCGGCTGAGCAAGAGGGAGTGAGTGATGGGGACGGTTCAGTAAAGATGCTGGGGGAGTGATGAGAGCAGAGAGTGAAGAGGAAAGGAGTGGGACCTACGGAGGACAAGGCAGGGGAATGGAAGGATTAACAGAGAGTCAGTGTGGGTTTACGAAAAGGAATTCATGTCTAATCTAAATAAAGGAATCTAAAATGGTTTGAGGCATCAGCTGACGATAAATTGCCAAGTGTTATGTTAATGAATGAGGATGGAGAGGCAAAGGTGAGCATTTAAAGAGGGCGTGGATGAACAGTAACAATTGTTCATTCCTGTCTGCCATCAAAATAAAACAGGAAAGGAGGGCCGACCAAGGCTATTAAGGGAAATTAAGGATAGTATTAAAGTAAGGAAGTGGCATATAAAATTAGCAAAAATGAAGCAACAGATCTGAAGCTTGGGAGCAGTTTAGATTTCAACAAAAGAAGAATAAGCTTGGGAGAGGGTGGGAATAGAATATGAGAGTAAGCTTGCAGAGATCTTACAAATTGATTGTCAAATTCTCTAAAGGGATGTTAAGAGAAAAAAAGGTTAATGAAAGCAAATATAGTTCCTTCAGAGTCAGAAACCAGGGAAGTTACAATGGGCAAAAAAGAGATGGCAGACCGATTAGATACAAACTTTGTTCCAACTTCACAAAGGAGATTACAAATAGCATCCCAATAATGTTATAGAACAGAGGTTTTAGCTAGAAGAAGGAACTGTAGGAAACCAAGCTTCATAGGAAACGGTATTGTGGAAAATAATTAGATTAAAGGCTATTACATTCCTAGGTCTCAATCAAGAATTGGCCTTCAAAATAATAGATGAATTGTTCATTATCTTTCAAGATTGTATAAACTCTGGAATAGTTTCTATGTATTGGAGAGTAGCTAGTGTAACCACATTATTAAAAAACAAATGAAAAAGAAAACAAGGAATTAAAAATCGGCCTGACATCAATCATGGAGAAAAGCTCGAGCTCAAAGTAAAAGATTTAATCGCACAGCACTTAGGAAGCAGTGCCAGGATTGAATAGACTCAGTCGGGAATCACAAATGGGAAGCTATGCTTGACAGCTGGATATTCTTGAGGATATAACTCGCAGAGTTAATGTTGTTTCCTTAGATTTTCAGAACACTTTTGATAAGGTTCCACATAAGAGCTTAGTGTGTAAAATTAAAGTGCATGTGTTTGCGTGTAGTGTACAGAGACAACTGTTTGACAATTGGGAAACAGAATGGGAACATATCGTACATTTTCCGAAATGCAGGCAATAAATAGTGGGGTACTGCAGGTATCAGTGCTTGGTACCCCCATTCACAGTAAATATTAACGATTTAGATGAGGAAACTATATGTACAATTAAATCCAATTGTATAGGGCCTTGTACAGAGACTACATCTCGACTACTGTAGACAGCTTTGGTCTCCTTATTTGAGAATGGGTGTTCTTGCTATGGAGCAAATGTGGAGAAGATTTTACAGTCTGATTACTGGGACGGCAAGACTGTACTATGAAGACAGAGTCAATCAGCGCACTGTTAGGCTCAAAAATGATATCAAACCAGACCATTAAGGGTTAACCATTAAGCGTTAGTTGCACATGACAATAAGTAATTGAATTAAAGTGAACAAGTGTGTGAAAAACAGGCCTGGTGTAAAAAACAGCCTATTTTGGCTCGGAGATGACTGCATGACATTAATTGTTTGTAGGGACCATTTATATGTAGTTAACGCAGAGCCACAATGGAATGCACAATAGAATATCCAGGAAAGTACTGAAATGGTGATCCAGTGCTTAACCATAACAGTATTAACATCAGGGATTCTGTATCACTCGTGGGATATTCCCCACCAGACTGGCTCTGCGGGACCAGAGCTATGGACCTTCTCCACCGGACCGGGATTCAAAGACCGGTGCCGTGGAAACTGAGATACAGTTCTGTGTGCCAGCCGTCATTCAGGAATCCCCGACAACAGAAGGCAATGAGACTTGCTTGTGGAGTGTCTAGAGTAGTTTATGATGGTAGATTTACTCATTAGTTTGCATATATCTGAACCAGATCAAGCTGTAAGTGTCATTTCTGTGTCTTTTTCCCTTCAAGGAACTGCTGGAAACAGCAACATAAATAACATCATGTATTTGTCACCTAATTGTCCTCCCCAACACTTGTACTAAAAAGACCATCAACAAAATGAGTGACTTCATTGTAAACACATTGCTGTTTCCCCGATTTTGCTGTATGTAAGTCTGTTCACTCATTTCCGATATTACGGCAGTGGATATTCCAAAAATACTTCTTTGGTTCAGAAACAATTTGGACCATACATTGGGCAGGGAGGTGGTGTTAAATAGAACGTGTACTTTTTTCTTAATATTCTTTGTAATAATTTCTCTGTGACTAGGAGGTGAGTTTAGAGTTCTCACTGCTGCTGATTGCCTCCGTACTTTCCCTTTCCCCTGTCACCCATATTCCAAACATCCCAAAAAATATAGTTCTCCTCACGCAGAACGGATGGCTGAAATTTTGTCAAGTTCCTCAAGAACTACTCAGCACTTTCCCACACTCTACTCCAAACATGTGTCAAACTGGCTGGGAATATTGCATTGAAGCTGATTCCTCAAGAAAAATCCAGCGTCTGATCAAATTCAGATTCCGATCAGCCGGTTCACTGCTTGATTAATGAGATTGCTCCGAACATAAGCCTCACCTTCAGGAAACCGTGTTATCACCATTTATTATGGACGTTTATGGATATCTCTCTACTGTTGGCCAATCTGCAACCGCATTCAACCTACGAATACTTATTTCTCTCTCCTGGTTTGAACCTTGAACACTGCAATAAGGACACAGCACACCCTTCTTTATCCAGCACAGTGTCACAGATACCGACACACTCCTATTAACTACAGTCATAGAGTTATAAAACCAGCCAGCGCACAAACAAGCCATTCGGTCCAACTTGTCCATGCCCGACCAGTTTTCGTGAACTGAACTAAACCCATTTTCCTGCATTTTCCCCACAGCCCTCTAAACCTTTCGTATCCACATACCCGTCCAAACTTCTTTTAAATGTTGTAATTGTACCCACCTCTACCACTCCCTCTGTCAGGTCATTCCATTTACACACCAGCATCTGTGAGTAAAATTTGCCCCTCAAGTTCCTGCTAAATCTTTCCCCTCTCATCTTAATCCTATGCCTTCTAGTTCTGTCCTCCCTTACCCTGGGGAAAAGACCTTGGTTATTCACCTTGCGATATTACAGATTTCAAAACTTTAATAACTGTTCACGTACAGAATGAATAAACAAATAAAAAGCTATTGCGCCTGGAATAAACTGTTAAGTAACAAAGATAGGTTGTTACACAGACACTCAAGCAGTTAGCCATGTCTTGCTGAGATGACGTAAACAAAACGGCTTTGATACCTGCTTGTTAAACTGGACGCTTTATTGTCATAAGGATAACTGACTGCCCTGCAGAAAAATGTAAGAAGTTAACCACAGGAAGGCTGTGCCTTCGAACAAACCTTCACGGCCAAATGTGACAAGTAACAAAAAAAAACCCTCCTTTTCATAAGGATGCCGGCTGCAGACCTGCAGTAACTCGAATGAAAGAAATCAACAATACATCACATCAGAAACCTAAGATCAAAAATGTGCATCGAAATCGAACGCCAGAGCGCCACCTTTGCACTTCAAAGAACAACACTGCAGAACTCTTCCCAGCACCAGATCACTGTTGGTTGAAGTCTGTCCAGATGTCACCATTCATCAGGAAATAGCCAAGTTGAATTATGAGGCTTAACTTGCTTACTTTGAGGGACTTACTTTGATTGACAATAAAGTTTAAATTATTGTTTCAGTCCTTGACTGTGTGTGAGATTTCGGAATAAGAAGCCGAATTAAAAGTAACTTGTGGTGATATATCTGGAACAACCTTATCTACACTCTTCAAGATTTTATAAACCTCCATCAGGCCACCTTCTACTCTGTAAGGAAAAATGTCCCAGTTATTCCAGTGTCTCCTTGTAACTCAAACCTTCCAGTCTCGGTCACATCCTTGTTAGCCATTTTTGCACCCTTTCCAAATGAATAACATCCTCCCAAAGCAGGGTGACCAGAATTGTGCGTAGTATTCCAAATATGGCTTTAGCATTGCCTTGTACAGTTGTAACATGACGTCCCAAATCCTGTACTCAATGTTCTGACCGATGAAGGTAAGTGTGCCAAATAGCCTTGTCTACCATTTTCAAGGAACAATGTACCTGCACCCCAGTATCTCTGTTCGACAACCCTCCCCAAGGGCCCTACTATTAAATGTATAAGTCTTATACTGGTTTGTCTTGTCAAAATGCAAGCCTGGCAATTCATGCAATCATAGAATCCCTACAGTGTGGAAACAGGCCATTCGGCCCAACAAGTCCATACCGTCCCTCCGAAGATCATCTCATCCAGACCCATTACACTACCCCTGCATTTTCCCATGTCTAGCCCACCTAACCTGAACATCCCTGAACATTATGGACAATTTAGCATGGCCAATTCACCGAACCTGCACATCTTTGGACTGTGGGATGAAACCGGAGCACCCGGAGGAAACCCACGCAGATACGGGGAGAAAGCGCAAACTCCACACGGACAGTCGCCCGAGAGTATAATTGAACCGGGTTCCTGAAATTGCATCTTCCATTCCTTGACTAACTGGCCCATTTGATTGTTACCCTGTTGTGGATAACTTTCTTCACTGTTCACTATGCCGCAAAATTTGGTGGCACCCACAGTCTTACTATCCATGCTTCCTATATTCAAATCGAATTCGTTTATATGAATGACGATCAATAATGGACTCAGTACTGATCCTTGTGGCACACCACTGATCACAGACCTCTGGAATAAACAACAACCCCCTGCCACCACCCTTTGCCTCCTACGTTCAAACCAATTTTGTATCCAATTGGCTAGCTCTCCTCCGATCCCATATAAGCTAACCTTATCAAACAGTCAACCATTGGAACCTTGTCGAAGACCTTGCTCATGTCCATGTAGAATATATTTACTGCTCTGCCTTCATCTATCTCCTTGGTCACCTGTTCAAAAAATTCAATCAAATTTGTGAGACGTAATTTTCCACGCTCAAACCATGCTGACTATCTAATCAGTCGGTGTCTTTACAAATGTATTTACTTCCTTTCTCTCAGAATCCCCTCCAACAACTGATGTTAGTTTCACCGGCCTTCAGATCCCTGGCTTTTCCTGGCAGCTTTTCTTAAACAATGGCTCCATATTAATTCAATCTTACAACAGCTTATCTCTAATTACTCAATTACTCCCAAAGGATTACACTTATATTGGATCTGATGCTAAACATGGTTTTGAGATAAAAATAACAAAAATGTCATGTAAATGTGTGTCCAGATGGATACAGTCCTGTCTCATTCTAAACTTCAGTTTCTGTATTCCTCTTAAATAAACAAAGAACTGCTCATGCTGGAGGCCTGAGGGGGTATAAAAAACAGAATTTGCTGGTGAAACTCAGCAGGTCTGGCAGCAGCTGTGGAATGAAAGCAGAATCAATGTTTCAAGTCTGTCGATATCATTCCAATGAAGCGTCAGTGGACTGGAAACGTTAACCCTGCTTTCTACCCGCAGAGGCTGTCAGATCTTCTGAGCTTCACAGGCAGTTTTTGTTCTCGTTTCTCTATTCCTGGTGTTAGACAGATCGTTTCACTGATGTGACACTCAGTGTTGAAGGCTTAAAGCCATTTCCCTAAGTAAAGTATGAAAAGAGAGAGTTTTTCGGAATTAATAAAAAGTAATACGAGCATTTAAAATGTGACTTTTCGTCCCAACACAACTGATTCATCCTCAGGTATATGAATGCAAAATTTTACCTGGGTGAATGACGTTTATCATTTCTCTCCATGTCATGTACTGTAAAGGCCCGGTATACTTTCCAAGAGATAGGACTAAATCCGCATTTGAGAGTTGGTGATGCTCATCACTAATCCTGTAATTATTAAACAGATGATATTACAAATTCCATTTTCTCTGAGTATTTCAGAAGTGATTTAAATGGTCGAGCTTTCAGCAGTTTTGCATTTCGGCCACTGTGGTTACAAATGGAATATTAATCTTCTTTGCACAATGGAGCAAAAATTATTTGATAACGGAAGGGTAAAGTTTGGAAGCACCCAGGTGAAGAGAAAGGGTTTATAGCCTGATAACTGATTAGTCACTCCGACATCACACTCTACGATGTTTAATATTTCCCCCGTGAGCTTGCTGTATTATAAGCAGAGCACGTGAACAAACACAAAGACTGAAGGCATTTCCATTGCCTAATATACAAATGTAAGTTACGATGGCTGTTCAATCCTCCGGGGATCTTACTCTTTTTCTTCTGTCGTGTTGAACATCTCCGATTTCAGTTGCTTCCCATTGCTGTTTGATCTTCAGCTGCAGAGTTCGTTAGCTTCGTAATTCCCTCCTTGAATCTCTCCATCTCTTTATTTCTGTTTTATCACATAAGATTTTCTAAAATCTACGCGAGTCATCTGTAATAATATTTCGGTTAATGTTTTGATTTCAAGTGTTTCCGAGAAGTGCCCTGCGACCTCATATTAACGTAAAGATGCTATATAAATATTGTTGTGTAGTGTTCTTAAGGTTATAAACTGAGCAAGTATTATAAAAACGCAAACCAATACTCCATCTTAAACTCTGACTGTCTTGACTTGGTCCGGAGCCAGAGAAGGAAGATAGCCATTCCCTGGAAACATCGGCCATGTGTCGCTGTGAGTGTCAGGAAAAGATCACAGCCACACAATTAGCCCAAATCAGATTAGTGATGACTTCCAGCCTCAGAACCAGGTTGTATTATTTACGGCATTTGATAGTTGATTATAGTGTTGTAGAACCATGATATAAAATTTAATACTGTTTCAACACTGTAAACATCACCTTATTATAAAAAGTCATTCATGTATGACCCATAAATCGAGTTACTGATAAACAAAACGTCTTTAAAACGACGGTAATAACCAAGAAATAAATCCATCATAATCCGTCGCTGAGTTTTTGAGTAAATTGCGCAGAGTTTCAGTAAATAGCATGCCCTACCTTCTTTTCCGACAAGCTGATTCCTGAAAGAAATGAATTAGAAATAGTCAGAATCAAATAACAGATTTCAGGAGAAAACAGACAGGCTGCTGAAGTAACCAGGCACACAACGGAAGTGGAATGTGATACATTTTGGAAGGAAGGTTGAGAAAAGGGAAAATAAACTGGAACTGATCATCAGTTCTGCTCACAGACACAGCGACTCTCACTCTTCCAGATGCACCCACACACGCTCAACATGGGAGAGGGCAGGAAAGTAGGGCTAAAAACCACATCAGCCATGATCAACCTGACTTCGCTCATACGTCTTCATAGACGCAAGAAGAACGTGCAAACTCCGCACAGTCAGCCAAGATGGAATCGAACTCAGGTCTGTGGCGCAATGAGGCAAACATACTATTCACGAGACCACCATGCTGCTCCACCTTATGGCCTAATGTCACATGGAACTGAAATTGGTTTACAATGGAATTTCTTTGTATTCATGCACAGGAAGAAGGTGTCGTTTGTAACCCATCCCGAATCACCCAGAGGGTAATTGCAATGAAGACTCACAATCCTTGTGATGGAGTCACACGTACTCCAGAAAGTTTCCTTCCCTAACGGACCTTCGTCAGCTATTTTTCCCCCCCCCCCCCCACCATTCGGCAACAGCTTCATGGTTATCATTAGACTCTTAATTCCAGAATGTTATTGAATTCAATTTCCACCCACCGCTGTGGCGGAATTACACCCAGACCATTACTTGAGTTTCTGGATTAATAGTCTGGCGATAACACCACTAGGCCAACGCCTCCCCATGTGAGTTGATGCCAAACTTGCAGAATTCCATTTGACTATCTGCTAGATAATGGCACTGGGAGGTAACTAGACTTGGTAACACGAAAATAATAACTAAGCAAGAATCAATAGGAACAAAAACAAAGTTGCTGGAAAAGCTCAGCAGGTCTGGCAGCATCTTTGAAGAAAAAACAGAGTTAACGATTCGGGTCAGGTGACCCTTCCTCAGAATCAATAGGGCAATTCATTCCAGAGAAGTTGCCAGTTTTACTAAGAACCTGCAGTGTGGAAGCGATTAGTTCATTGAGAACAGCAGAATCGTGCAGAGAGTCGAAAGTTCAAGTTAATTCGTCTTCTATTTACGTCAGTTGGTCTTCTCTTCATTTAACAGTTAACATTATTTATTTTGGCATGTTTTGGAAACTTCCGAGAGATTGAATCACCTGCTATATAAATGTACGTATTTAGATGAAATGCGCAGACTTTTATGTCCAACCGTGTTCAAAGAATAGCGTTCGTTGTGCAGGTAGAGTATGCGAGGGGACAACATTAGGCATCCCTAAGGTAGGTGAATAGTAGGTTGTTTATTCATGAACTTCAGTTTTATATCTCACAAAATGGGTGACAGTTTGAGGGAAACATTGGTGTCTTTACAATTAAAACGTTTTAGTTTGGTACCGAGCGGGATGAACTTCCAGATGTTACCGTTGTGCTACTTCAATCAACTTTCAATCAATGTTCTATTAACGTTTGTCATCATCAGTGAAGTTTCACTGAACTGACCCGGAATATATTTCCTCACCTGCAAAAATATCACTTCGTCTTTTTGCTTCATCTGCTTTTGTATCTTTGAGAGTTTCTCCTCAATTGAATTTAATTTGTCCTGAATCTCCAGGAGATTTTTCTCCATTGTGTCTAGAATCCTCTTCTCGTCTTCCCTGAGATCTCGGAGTAAACGCTGCTCTTTCTCAGTGAGAATCTGGTGCATTTTAGTGAACTCGGATGTGATGTGGGCCTGCAGACTGCTCGCCTGTTCCTACCAAATGAAACGTGAAACATCATTAATGTCCCGCAATAAAGGAAACGAACTGCTGAGAACCCAGAAAATTAGAACATGGAGAGCTCACCCTAACTTCAGAAATCTTCTGTTTCTGATTCAGTTCCTTTTCTAGAACCGCAGATTTCTTCTCTATGAGAGAATCTAAGGAAGATTTCAGCTGATCCTGAAATTTAGAAAAAGAATTAGATCATTAAATTGTCAAATCGTGAAAATGTGATAAAACTTTCACATCCACCCTTTACCTTGTAGATTTCAAACACTTGTTTAATCGGGATGAAGCGGTGCCCTTTGTGCTCTTGCGAAATTTTACAATTTAGACATATCAATTTCTTGTCGGTTTCACAAAATAGTTTCAGATCTTCCTGATGTTTCTCACAATAATTTTTACTTTCCTCTTCTTTCGGAATAAACTTTAATTTTTGAGCCTCCTCGGTCAGATTCGCCAAGGCCCGATTTACGCTGAGGGTTCTTTCTGGAAACTCCGCTCTACATTCCGGGCAGGAGTTTATCTCCTTGTTTTCCCAACTCTGGATGATACAGGTGCGGCAGAAGTTGTGCCCACAACCCAGCGTAACCGGATCGGTGAAGAAATCCAGACAAATTGGACAAATTGTCTGATCTATCAAACTCTGGAGCTGCCGCCCGGAAGCCATTTTCAATTCGGTATTTCCTGATTCCACCTGTTTTCACTGAAACTTGGCAACGAATTTACTGGACGTACTGAAGAACTGCCCTGACGTATGTAAAAAAAAACTCGTCAGACCAGTGTGCGTCACTCGCAGGCTTTACTACATTATCCTCCTCGAAATTTGAATGTTCCTCGGCTGGTGAACGCATTCTGTTCGTCGATTTCGCTACGAATGTCACTGAAGTACTCAGAGAATGGCTACTCCACGCCCCCACCATCCCCCACAACCCCCCCCCCCCCCACCTCCCCCCCCCCCCGTTCTCTCGACCTTTTCGCAGAGAGGTAAAATGAACTTTAAATGTTGAAGATTAAACCAGGCAGAACACGAAGGAGCGCAGAGGAGATGGGCGGGGAATGAGTTCTCCTTGAACTTTGGTGCAGACTGAACGTGGAGCTGATCGCACACACTGAGCTGCAATCCGTTGTGAAATCCGAAATCATAAAATGAAATTGCTAAATGTTTGCAGTCCGTGAACATCAAACGCAATTGTCCAGGCGAATCCTTTTAAATGAGAGATACAGGAATTGCTTTGGAGAAGAAGTGATATTTTTGCATTTATGTAGTGCCGTTCAGAATGGACTGTCCCGTGGTGTTTTAAAGAACATGTGACCATTTCTGAATTGTAACGATTATTGTAATGTAAGAAGTGCATCAGACACCTAGAGCATTGTGACAAGAGCAGCTGGTTTAGGATGCTGGTATAGGGAGAAATGTAAGTCATTACAGACGGAAGATATTCCCATTGTCGGGTTAGGATAACGTCATGTTATCATCTACACGAAAGGTAGAGAACACAACCGGTGACAGTTTAAAGACTAATCTGGAAAACGCCATATCTCACAGTGCAATAACCCCTCTTCTCACCGCACAACACGGTCCGTCTGTATCATTGTCTCGGCCTCGATGCCCTGACCTACCTCAAGAAGTTAGACCGCTCCCACTGAATCACAATTGACACAATTGACTGCTGCCACCTGCGGACAGAAGCGACGTTCTGCATGAAAAGATAACCATCAGAAAGCTCAAAAATGAAGAATGTCTTTGAATGTTCGCAAATGCAATGGGCTAAATGACCACTTTTTGTATACCATACAACCTCTGTGGAGAGTGAGTTACCGTTTCAGATCAAGATCACCGCTTTTACTGATTCTATTTCAAAAAGAAGTCGAATTTGAGAATAATTAAGTCCCATTGTAAGTACAAAATACCGTGTCGAGTTCACTCGTGGTGAACAGTGGACAGTTTTGCTCTCCTTAACTATCCGAGGATAATCTTGCCTCAGTGTGTACACAATAATTTTCACGACGCTAAGTTCTGATGAAAATTGCATTCAGATGACAGGTTGAGTGGGCCTGGTATATCCTTCGAGTTTAGAGAAATGAAATGAGATCTCACTAAACATTTAAGAACATAGAACATAGAGCAGTAGAGCACAGTACAGACCCCTCGGCCCACGATGTTGTGCCGACCTATTATCCTACTGTAATATCAAGCAACCCTGCATACCCTGCATTTTGCTATCATCCATGTGCCTATCCAAGAGTCGCTTGAATGTCCTGATGTATTTGAATCTACTACCACCGCCGGCATTCCAAGCAACCACCACTTTCTATGTAAAGACCCTATCTCTGATATCTCCCCATACCTTCCTCCAATCACATTAAAATTACGCCCCCTTGTAAGAGTGATTTCCGCGCTGGGAACAAGTCTCTGGATATCCACTCTACCTATGCCTCTCATCACCTTGTACACTTCTATTAATTCACTTCTCATTCTTCTTGGCTCCAATGAGAAAAGCCGTAGCTCCCTCAACATTTCCTCATAAGACCTGCCCTCCATTCGAGACAGCATCCTAGTAAATCTCCTCTGCGCCCTCTCTAAAGCTTTCATATCCTTCCTATAATGAGGGGACCAGAACTGAACACGATATTCCAAGATAACAAGGTGTAGAGCTGGATGAACACAGCAGGCCAAGCAGCATCAGAGGATCAGGAAAGCTGACGTTTCGGGCCTAGACACTTCTTCAGAAATGGGGGAGGGGAAGGGGGGGTTCTGAAATAAATAGGGAGAGAGGGGGAGGCGGATAGAAGATGGTTAGAGGAGAAGATAGGTGGAGAGGAGACAGACAGGTCAAAGAGGCGGAGATGGAGCCAGTAAAGATGAGTGTAGGTGGGGAGTTAGTGCCATGGTATCAATGTGGACTTCACAAGCTTCAAAATCTCCCCTCCCCCTACCGCATCCCAAAACCAGCCCAGCTTGTCCCCGCCTCCCTAACCTGTCTTTCCTCTCACCTATCCCTTCCTCAAGCCCCACCCCCATCTCTTACCTGCTAGCCTCATCCCGCCCCCTTAACCTGTCCGTCCTCCCTGGACTGACCTATCCCCTCCCTAACTCCCCACCTACACACCTTTACTGGCTCCATCCCCGTCTCTTTGGCCTGTCTGTCTCCTCTCCTCCTATCTTCTCCTCTATCCACCTTCTATCCGCCTCCCCCTCTCTCCCTATTTATTTCAGAGCCTCTTTCCCCTTCCCCATTTCTAAAGAAAGGTCTAGGCCCGAAACGTCAGCTTTCCTGCTCCTCTGATGCTGCTTGGCCTGCTGTGTTCATCCAGCTCTACACATTATTATCTCAGATTCTCCAGCATCTGCAGTTCCTACTGTCTCTGAAACGATATTGCAAGTGTGGTCTTACCAGGGTTTTACAGAACGGCAGCATAACTTGCGGCTCTTAAACTCAATTCCCCTGCCAATGAAAGCCAACACACCATACGCCTTCTTAACAACCCTATCAACTTGGGTAGCAACTTTGAGAGATCTAACGACGTGGACCCCAAGATCCCTATGTTCCTCCACACTACCAAGAATCCTACCATTAACCCTGTATTCTGCATTCAAATTCGACCTTCCAAAATGAATCACTTTACACTTTTCCGGGTTGAATTCCATCTGCCTTTTTCTTTGCTCAGCTCTGCATTCTGTCAATGTCCCGTTACACCCCACAACAGCCCTTCACACTATCCACAACTCCACCAAACTTTGCGTCAAACTGTGTGGCAAACTTAGTAACCCATCCTTCCAGTTCCTTATCCAAGTCATTTATAAAGATCACAAAGAGCAGAGGTCCCAGAACAGATCCTTGTGGAACACCACTGTTCACCGAGCTCAAAGCTGAATACTTTCCATCTACTTCTACCCTCTGTCTTCTATTGGACAGCCAATTCTATATCCAGACAGCCAAATTTCATTGAATCCCATGCCTCCTTACTTTCTGAATGAGCCTACTATGGGGAACCTTATCAAATGCCTTGCTAAAATCCACAAAGACACATCCACTGCTCGACCTTCATCCATGTGTTTTGTCACATCCTCAAAGAATTCAGTAAGGCTTGTGAGGCATGACCTGCCCGTCACAAAGCCATGCTGACTATTTCTAATCAAACTATGCTTTTCCAAATAATCATAAATAGTATCTCTCAGAATCCTCTTCAATAATTTGCCCACCACAGAAGTAAGACTGACTGGTCTGTAATTTCCAGGATTATCCCTATTCCCTTTCTTGAACAATGGAATAACATTTGTTACCCTCCAATCATCTGGTACTAATCCAGTGGACAGTGAGGACGCAAAGAGCAACGCCAAAAGGGCAGCAATTTCTTCCCTCGCTTCCCGTAGAAATCTTGTGTGTATCCCGTGTGGCCCAGGGTACTTATCGACCCTCATGTATTTTTCGAAATTTTTAGCACATCCTCCTTCCTAACATCAACCTGTTCGAGCATATCAGCCTGTTTCACGCTGTCCTCACAAACGTCAATGTCCGTCTCACTGGTGTATATTACACTGGTTTTGTATCATCTTGCTTTTTCTTCAGAATATCCTGCAACTACCTCTTTCATAATCAGTTCGTGCATTTTCCGAACAACAGATGTTAGACTAGCTGGCTTATACATTTCTGCATTCTGTCTCCTTCTTTTCGTTTGTAGTTGTTTCATTCATGGTCTTCCAATCCATTTCGAATTTACACACAGTCTTTGGAATTTTGGAAGATGACAACTTTTCAGCCATTTCCTTTAAGACCCTGATATACAGAATATTGTATCCTCGGGCTCAGTCAGCCTTTGGTGTTATTCGTTTTCATAGTAATTTTTCTGTAGTGATCACGATTATGTTGAGTGGGAAGATGGTGGGTCAATAGTAATATCACTGGACCAGACACCCAGCTAATGTACTGACGACATAGGTTCAAATTCCATCATGGCAGTTAATGCAATTTGAATTCAATTAATGCCATTCTTTCCTGCTCTGACCTACATGTGATTCTAGATTCACGGCACTGTAGTTGATTCTTAATTGCCCTCTGGGAAATTAGGGATGGGCAATAAATTTTATGCCCAGCCAGTGCTTCCCACATTCCAGAAAAGAATAAGTTAAAAAAAAGTTCCTCACTCATCCTTTGCAATTGATTGTTGACAGAGGACTTCTTCCCCGCGTGCGCACATAACACCATTACTCCTGAGGTGGCTTTTGAGGTATTCCGAACTTTCTTGATGTCTGGGGTAGCAGGAACTGAAACTTACAATCCTTAAGAAGCTTTGCAGATACTGAGAGTTTGCTTCCTCGGACTGGAGTGTTTCTGACTCTGTCCCATCGCGAGTATGATGAAGAAATTTCAAAGTTATATCTGAATGTGAAAGAGATGGGAATAAATCATGTGGAACCTCGGACAAAATTGAAACAGTTTCTGATGTCTATGGTTCTATTGTCTTCACCCCGGTAAGGCAAATCTTGCCTGTTAAACATATTGCCAGCTGCAAGCTTTCACTGAAATATATATCAAATCATTGAAGGAACTTAGACAGCTTGAGCAGCCATAGACTGGGTCCTGTATTGAAAAGTTCTTTGCCCCAGGAGTTTTCAAACGAGTAAAATTGTCGCAGGTGTCCTCTTTAAACTGAATTAAATTTGTGTTCCATATGTAATATTTTCTGCATAGCACGAGTGTTGCAACAGTAACTAGTCATCTACAAATATAAATAGATCTCCGGCGTACAAAGAACAAAGGAAACATCATAAGAATCACTGAGGTCACAATATTCAATTGGACAGATGTCCAAGTTTTTTTCCCTCTTCGCTGCCCTATCATCAATACAGTTTCTAGAAAAAATAGAATGTTTAGTTTTAGAAGGAACGACAACTGAACTACGATCTTGTGTTGCTTCCCATCTGAAACAAACGGTTGCTCCCTCTGTCCGTCTCAGGAAATGACCCAAGACGATTTGGAGTGATGTATGAATGCAAATTTTTGGATTTTTCCCCGCAGCCATCGCCCCAGTTAATCTGTCCGGAGGCTCCGAAAGTCATTCAAATGAATTCAGAATGCACGGCATACAAATAGGAGGTGGTGGGTTAATATCAAACAAAACAAAAATGTGTTGAGTTTACCATTCTTGGATTTAATTAAGATGTTATTTTTTGTTGAAGAATCACATTGCAAATTGGTAAATAGTTATTTAATACCATCAATATGTGAAGAGTTTACAATATTGTACCACAGTTATAAATAAAAAGAGCTGCGTATACATTATGTTTTAATAATAATTTTCAGAAAAGAGAGAAAAGTGCTGTAATTTAAGGACAGCTTCACTGATGTAGACAGAGATAGACAAACCAATAAAGCAGGCATACGTGGTAACTTTGACTCCATTAACTAGGCTTCGCTCTCCACATGTGACTGGACTCGACCCCTATCAGTTTTCAGCTGGTAGGAGGGATTGGGAATGGGATGAAATTCTGGGATGGGTCTGTCAGTGCCCTTTAATTCTGCAGATTGTCAGCGACACGGAGTTTATACGATCAATTTCAATCCCGTATAGAAGAAGGGAAAGATCCTCTCAGTGAAAGTTTGGGTGAAAGTGTGGAGATGGGACATGTTGTCCGCATTGTAAAATGACGCCTGTTCACCCTCATAGTCCAGGAAAACCCCGATCTTCCGGGAAACTACACTCTGGGAGAGGCGAGGAGGTGGTGTCAAAATAACCTCTTCCGATAAACAGTCGCAACATTGAGAATCCTGTCTTTGCTTTCAGTAAGATTCACTCTTTCCTCTCTACAGACTCTCGTACCACTCCCTCTTCTCTCTCCTCCTACACCTCCCAGTAATGTCTCCCTGATGTGAATCCCTCTGATGCCAAGACAGTACCAGGGATCAACCCTCTCTGGGGAGTCAGGGAGCCGCAGCCCTTCAAGTGCACACGTCAAACGGTCCAGTCCTCAGGCAGGATGATCCGCGGAATCACTGTGTTCAGATCGACAGTCAGAGACGTGGAGATGGGGGAAGAAACACAAACAACACATTCGATGATAAAGCAAGGGACAGGGGAAAACGTGGAATTTTTAAAAAAAGCCGCAGTCCGTGGTCTAGAGAAGGAAAATGGGAATGTTGGGGTATGAAAGGGAAGGTGAGGGAACAGTGAGACACGGGAAAACGGTGCAGAGGGAGGGAAGGCTATGGAGATGAAAGTGAGTGCTGCGAATTTGACAGTGAAGAAGAATGCGGGGTGGGGATGGTGAAGTTTATCAGAGAGGGAAAAGGAATGGAATGATGTAATGGGAGAACAAGGCGAGTGAAATGATGGGTTAAAATAGAAGATGGGTAGGGAAAGGGTAGATGTAAATTGACGGAGAGTGGGAGTGGATGGAAGGGCAGGGGAGAGTGAAGAGGAGGTAAGAGGGCACAGAGGATGACGGGAGTGGAGAGTGCCATCAAATCGGGTATGAGAACGTGTAAGTGAAAGGGAGGGGAAGAGGCTGTGAATAAAGATGAAAAGGAGGGGTGGGAAGGAGAGGAGGTACGCATGAGGTAGACTGGTGAACAGGAGAAAGGGGAAGCAAGTGTTGCGGGGTTAGGAACAAAGTGAAGTGAGAGTGAGGGACATTACACAGTGAAGGAGAGCAAGAGCTGTAAGGGATGGACAGAGGAAAGGGAAAACATAGGAAAGTGTGATCGACGTGCAGGGGCAGTGGGATGGAAATGGAGGGGTGAAGGGCACTGGGGATAGGAGAAGAGTTAGGAGGAGGGTAATTTGGGGGGGTTTAGAAGAAAGCAGGGCAGATCGACGGGATCAAAGGGTTTAGGACAAAGCAGTGGGAGTGGGGGATTTCTGGGTTTGGGGTTAGCAGCGAGCAGGGGAGAGGGAGAGTGAGGGAGAGAATAATTAGGAGAGAGTTAGGGTATGGGAGTGTGTGTGCGTGAGAGAAATAGAGACAGATCAGAATAAGGACTGAACACGAGGAAATTGAGACAGGCAGTGGAATGGGGATGGGTATTGGCGAGAGGGGACACAGACTCAGGGAAGAGCAGTCCACAAGGGGCAGAGTGAATAAGCTGCAATTGGAGGCAAAGGGCGAGAGTAAAGTGAGTTTAAGGAAAGAGAGACCCAGATGTGAAGACGAGCTGAAGGAGAGGGTGCGGGCAAGAGATTGGAGAGGTTGTAGGACATAGAGTCTGCTTGAGACACAGAGTGGAGTGGGCGGGGAAGAGCGAGGTGGTGAACAGCTGATCTGGCCGGCAAATAAACAAGCAAGAGGGAGCAATAGTAGGAGATGAAGTAGGTATGGAGAGGGAAGGGTATGAGGAGAACAAACAAAGAGTGGAGAGTGAGGCAGGGTGTTAGTGTTAGCGAGGGGGATTCGGAGAGTGTGAGTGACTTAAATGTTAATGGGAGATGCAGTGATGGGGTAGGGGATTAGAGAATGACTGAGGGAGTGTGAGAAGACAGGGAAGGGGCATGATAAGTACGTTTGCGGATGACACAGTATTGGCCCGGAGGTTGACAGTGAGAAAGAAAGTCTTTTGTTACAGTTAAAATTGGTGGATTGATCAGATAGGCAAATCAGCGGTAGATGAAATTTAACGATGGTTAAGTATAAGGTGGTGCTCTATAGAAGCAGTAAGAAGACAAAGGAGTACTCATTGAGTGACAGGTCACTAGTGATCTCTGAGGAACAGAGGAATAGTGGGGAGGTTATCCACAAATTCCCGAAGGCAATAGAACAGGATAATATGTTAGTTAAGCAGACACACATCGTATTCAATTTTAACAGTCGTGGCATATGTTACCAGAGAGGCTATGTTGGATCTATCAGTTCTTTGGTTAGACTGCAGCTGGAGTTCTGTGTGAAGTTCTAGTCGTCCGCTTTGTAGGAAGTATATGACTGCATTGGAGTGGGTACGAGGAAATTCACCAGAATGTTGCTTGGGATAGAGCAGTTTGGCTATGAGCATAGCTTGTTTTCTGCAGACTAGGGAATTTTGAGTGGTGACCTGATAGAGGCGTGAAAGATTATGACAAGCATGGAGATGGTGGATAGAAGGCAGCAGTTCTGCTCAGTTCAAAGATTCAACAACAAGGCAGCATAATTTTAAAGTAAAAGACAGGACGTTTAGAAGGGATTTGAGGGGGAAAGTTCATCCGACGGCGGTGGAAATCAGGCAAATGCTACCTGCAAGGACAGTTGGGAAACCTCACAACCTTTTCAAAAATACGTGGATGAACACTTGAAGTGTGTAATATTCAAGGCTACGGACCGTGTGCTGGAAAGTAGGGCTAGTGCAGATTGAGAGTATCTTTTCGTGAGACTCAATGGCCTGAAATACCTCTTCTATGCTACATTATCGCAAGATTGTATGATTCTATGAACGTAAAGAAAGTGGCCTGTTAAGGCGTGTTTAACAATAATTTCTAACATATTCCTTACAACAGTGGTTAACAGCACAGCTCATTTTACCCAGTATGCCTATATCTACAATTGAGCTGCTGTTTGTTTCTTCTCTCTCCCTCCTTGTTTCCTCCAGCTCCACAGATCTCCTTGCTGATCTTTCAGTTCCCAGTATTAATACCAGGGTTATAAGTGGAATGTTAACCTGGTTCTTCTTTTCACATTTGATCATCCCATTCACTTTCCATCATGTACACTTGATAAACTGAAGTGTTCTGTTCATTTTTATCCTCCGAAATTTACTGTATTGCTGATAGCCCCAGAAAATATGTTTCCAAGCAAATGATTTAATTTGCTGCACCTCGATCAGTTCCCCTGTCATATTCTTCACCGGTGCCCCATCTCAACTTTGTTCTTTTCACCTCTTTGACACAACATTGAACTGCAGATTGTGGTTCGTGTCAAACCCTTATTTCAACTCTTTGACTGAACATCGGTTCACCCTCGATGGAATTGCGAATGTTCAGTTAATTTTAACAGGCATCCCTGGAGCAGTAGCCGCTGTTTGCCTTCAATTTTGAACAGAAAAAGATCACCAAAAAACATTGTTACTCAATTACTCGCAAGTTGCATTTGGACAGGGCCCCCACTTGTGAATGACACCGAAATCCATCAGTTGCTACCTGGTAGGAGGTAACGAGAGAGTGTGAAATTATGGGGTGGATTGGTTAGTGAACTTTCAGTCCGCAGATTGTCAGATGTGCAGGATTGTTGCCATCGAAATTCCATCCCGGGTTGAAGATTGGAAAGATCCTCTCAGTGAAAGTGTCGGTGAAAGTGTGGAGGTGGGACATGTTGTCCACATTGTAAAATGACACCTGTCCACCCTCATAGTCCAGGTAAACACCGATTTTCTGGGGATTCACGCTTAGCTTGAGGCGGAGCGCTGTCGGGGACGTAAAAGCAAAATAACCCTGTCCAGAAATCAGTCCCGCCACCCAATATCCTGTCTCAGGTATTGGGACGATTCCTCCCATCCTCTCCGCAGATTCTCGTGTCACTCCAACGCCCCATTCATTTTTGTTCCCGACCTCCACCTCCCAGTAATGTCTCCCTGATGTGAATCCCTCTGAACCCAATACAAAGGCCCAGGAATCAAACCTCCGAGGGCTGCTAGGGAGAGACTGCCGTTGGTTATTGTGTCTCACGCTGATCCGGTCCTCAGTCATGATGAGCTGTGGGTGGGCTGTACTCGGATCCAGAGTCAGAGAAGCTGGAACTTGCAGAAAGTTGAAAGAGTAGATTTATTTATTTTCCTTCTTCTGACATTTTTTCAAACACATTCATTTTTAACCTTATCTCTGTGTTGTATTCACCGAATGTGCTGCCTGTCTATGGTTTGAACCCCGACTCAGCGCAGCAGTGGCCAAAGAGGCTGGAGGGAAAGGCTACCAAAAAGCACTGGAGTGAAGAAGACAATTGAAATGTGTAGAAGAGCGAGAAAGAGAAAACACAGAGAGGATGGATAAAACAGCGAATATAACGTAGAATGAGAGTGGAAGGACAAAATGAGCCTCAATGCTTTGTGCCTCAATGCGAGGAGCATTTGTAATAAGGTGGATGAATTAAGTGCACAAACAGTTATTAATGGATATGATCTAATTGGAATCTTACAGACCTGGCTCCAAGGTGACCAAGGATGGGAAATCAAATCCAGGGTTACTCAATTTTCAGGAAAGATGGACGGAAAGTAAAGGGAGGTGGGGTAGTGCTGCTGGTTAAAGAGGAGATTAACACAATAGTAAGGGAGGACATTTTCCCTGGACGATATGGAATCAGTATGGGTGGAGCTGTGGAACACCAAAAGGGAAATGACGTTAGTGAGAGTTGTGTACAGACTAGCAAACAGTAGTTATGATGTTGGGGACTGTATCAAACAAGAAATTAGAGATGCATGCAGTAAGGGTACAGCAGTTATTATGAGTGACTTCAATCTACATATTGATTGAACTAACCAAACTGGTAGCAATGCGATGGAGGAGGATTTCCTGGAATGTATGAGGAATGGTTTCCTCGACCATTATGTCCATAAACCGATTAGACAGCAAGCCATCTGAGGCTGGTGTAATGAGAAGATTATTTAGCAACATTGTGGTGCGAGATCATTTGGGGAAGAGTGACTATAATATGGTGGACTGCATCATTAAGATGGAGAATGAAACAATTAATTCTGAAAATAGGGTCCTGAACTTAAAGAAAGCTAACTTTCATGATATGAGGCATACATTAGCTAGGATAAACTGGCCAAGAATGCTTTAGGGATTGATGTTGGATAGGCAATGGCAGACTTTTAAAGAACACATGGATGAACTTCAAAAATTGTCCGTCCTTGTCTGGTGTAAGAGTAATACAAGGGATATGTCTCAACCATGCCTAACAAGGGAATTCAGGGATCGTGTTAAAGCAAAAGAGGAGGCATATAAATTGGCCAGAAAAGCAGCAAACCCGAGGACTGGATGAAACTTAAAACTCAGCAGAGGAGGACAAAGGGAAAATGGGATATGAAATAAGCTTGCAGAAAACATAAAAACTGACTGCAAAACCTTCTATAAATATTTGAAGAGAAAAAGACTGTTGAAGGCAAATGTAGGTCCAATCCAGTTAGGATCACGTGAATTTATAATGGACAACAAAGAGACAGCAGACCAGTTGAATAAATACTTTTGATTGGTCTTCATTCAGGAGTACAAAAGTAACCTTCAGGAACTGCTAGGAGACAGAGGGTCAAACATGAAGGTGGAACTGAAGGAAATCCTTATTAGTCAGGAAATGGTATTGGGAAAGTTGTTCTGATTAAATCCCAATAAGTCCTCAGGGCCTGATGCTCTGCATCCCAGAGTACTTAAGGAAGTGGCCTTAGAAATAATGAATGCATTAGTGATTATTTTTCAGCATTCTGTAGACTCTGGAAGAGTTCCAATGGATTGGAGAGTGGCTAACGTAACTCCACGCTTTTAAGAAAAGGAGAGAAAGATAAAATGGGGAATTATAGACCGGTTATCCTGACATTGGTAGTGGGGAAAATGCTGCTGTCAATCAATAAGGATGTAATAATTGAACATTTAGAAAGTGATGAAAGAATCCGTCCTAAAGAGCATGGATTCACTAAAAGGAAATCATGCTTGAAAAATCTTCCGGAATTTTTAGATGATGTGGTCAGTATGGTGGACAAGAGTGAGTCAGTAGATGTTGTGCCTCTGGGCTTTCAAAAGGCTTTTGACAAGGTTACACACAAGTGGTTGCTAAAGACATTTAAAGCTCATAGTCTTGGAGGTAATGTATTGTCAGGGATAGAGGTCTGGTTGGCAGACAGGAAGCAGAGAGCTGAAATAAGTGGGTCCTTTTCAGAGTGGCAGACAGTGATGAGTCGGGTATCGCAGTGCTCAGTGCGGGGACCTCAGCTGTTCATAATATACATTAATGCTTTGGACGAAGGAATTGAATGCAATATCTCCAAATGTGCAGATGGGTGGCAGTGTGTGCTGTGAGGAGGGTGTTAAGTAGCTGCGGGGTAACTTGGACAGACAGATGGAGTGGGCAAATACTTGACAAATGCATATAATGTGGATAAGTGTGAGATTATCCACTTTGATCACAAAAACAGGAAGGCAGATTATTATCTGAATGGTGGCAGTTAAGGAAAGGTGAGGTGTAACGAGACCAGGGTGTCATGGTGAAACAGTCGCTGAAGGTTGGCATGCAATTTCAGCAGGCAGTGAAGAAAGCTAATGGCATGCTGGCCTTCATAGTGAGAGGATTTGAGTGTCAGAGTCAGGATATCTTGCTGCAGTTATACAGGGCCTTGGTGAGGTCACACGTTGAACATTGTGTGCAGTTTTGGTCTTCTAGTCTGAGGAAGGACATGCTTGCAGTTGAGGGAGTCCAGTGAAAGTTCACCAGATTGATTCCAGACTGACATATGAGGAAAGGCTGGATCGAATAGGCTTGTATTCGCTTGAAATTAGAAGCATTGGCGGGGGGGATCTCATAGCAACTTATAAAATCCTGATGGAACTGAACAGACTAGATGCGGGAAGAATGTTCCTGATGTTGGGGTAAGTCCAGAACTAGGGCTCATAGTCTAAGGGGTAAGCCCATTCAGGACTGAGATGAGGAAGACTTTCTACACTCAGACGGTTGTGAACTTGTGGAATTCTCTGCTGCAGGAAGCTGTTGGGGCCAGCTCATCAGATACACTCAAGAGGGAGGTGGTCATGGCCCTTGCACTTAAAGGGGTCAAGGGGTATGGAGAGAGGGCGGGAATGGGATACTGAGATTGCATGATCAGCCATGATCATATTGAATGGTGGTGCACGACGAAAGGACCGAATGACCTTCTCCTGCACCTATTTTCTATGTTTATAGAAGGAAAATATAGTTAAAGAGAGGATAGAGGAAAGAAAGGGACGGGGCTGCGGACCGTGTACGAACTTAGGTGACGGAGGAAGTGTTGTATTAAAGGGCGGGAGCGTGAAAACTGTGCATGGATGCTTGAGAAGACTGGGCTGGGAATGAAAGAGGATGAGAGAGCTGGATCTGGGTTATGAAGGACAGAACTGGGTGATGGTGGGTTGCGTGGGAGGGGAGAGAGTTGGTGAGGGGGTGAGAGGGCAGTGTGTGTGGCTCGACATGGCGGTTTGCGAGGGCAAGTCCGGATGAGGGAAAACGACACCGAGTGAGAGATTGGGGGTGAGGTGTTAGTGAGGGAAGAAGAGCTGGGTGAATACGAGGGATTGGATGAGGGAGGGACTGCCCGGGTCAGTGGGAGAGACTGGCTGAGGGAAGGCGTGGCTTGATGCGAAGGCAGGGCTGAGTGAGAGTCGGCACCCCTGGGTGAACGAGGAGGGCAGGCTGACAGTGAGGGGCACCGTAAGAGTGCAAGAGATGAAGGACAGGGTGAGAGGTAGACTTCATTTAACGTCGGAACGATTTGCTGAAGCAGTGCGTATATTGGATGATAGAGGGAGGATGTCGGTGAGAAAGACCCAGACTAAGGCAGGGCAAGATTGAGTGAGGCATGGTGGAGTCAGTTTGAGAGAGAAGAACGAAGTGGAACTGGTTAGTTCTAAGACTGCGTGAGGCGGTGCTGACGGAGAAAGGTCGACACTGCCCATATGGTGAGTGTGGCTCTCAGAGAGCGGCGAGAACAGCTGTCTCAGGAATGATAAAACAAAATAAAAGATCGCTGAAATAAAACAAAGAACTGCGGACGCTGGAAATTTGGAACATGAGCATAAACTGCTGTTGAAACTTAGCAGAACTGGCAGCAAATCAGGAGAGAAAGCAGCCGTAACATTTTCGGATCCGGTGTGCCTTCTTAAGAAGAGTCTGAAGAAGTTCTGAAGAAGGGTCACCCGACCGGAAACATCGACTCTCCATTCAATCCACAGATACTGCCAGACGCGCTAAGTTTCTCCAACATGTTCTGTTGTTGTTTCATATTTCCAGCATCGATAGTTATTTATTTTATTTCAGATGTGACTGAGTAGGGGTTGCGTGAAAGGGGGCGGAGTCTGGGTGACAGAGGAGGGACTGAATAGGGTTGGACGGGGCTGAGGGGAATGGGGAGGATTCCGAGTGGAGACAAGGAGATTGGGCGGGCCTGAGTGCGAAACGCCGCGTCTGCTTGTAGATAGGCAGGGTTGGAGGGAAGGGCGGAGCGCTAGGAAAAAACGGACCTTGTCGCAATGGTAATGTACCTTCACCTGGACAGGGAGGCCCGGGGTCAAGATCCACCTTCTCCAGAGGTGCATAATAACATCTCTGAAGAGTTTGAATAGAAAAATAGGTTCAAGGCTATGGTAAGATTTCTAATCAGTAAAGAAATTTAGGTTTATGAGGATGTTGCTGGATAGTGGATTTGATGATTAGCAAATCGGTCATGATTTTGTTGAATGGTGGAGAAGTCCTGATAGGCAAATTAGTCTAATTCTGCTTCAACCTTTTATGGTCCTTTGGATGGGAATGGAGGGGACGGCCTGGCGAGGCACGGGTGTCTGAATGAAGCGCTCAGGACTCGGATTCGGGCCGGCCAGAGTACACCTAGGTCGAAAGTGACCTACTGTTCGGGTATGGTTGTGAGCAGACAGCAAGTGAAAGGAGAGGCAATAATGGGAACGTAGTGGAAGAGACTCTGGGATATACTGGGGATAGACACGACGACGGAAAAGCCGCAGATTTAAAAGAAAATGGTTGGGGAATGGGACGAAATGCGGGCAGGGAGAGATATGAAAATGCAGAGAAACCTTGCAACTATTCTTCGCGCTACTTAATAAAAGTTGCATAGATATAACCACCGCCTGTGCACATCGTTGTTGACATTCTATTGCTGAAATTTATACAGGCTACGTTAAAATCCCTCTTTGGGCAGATATTGATTAAACCGGTTGAAAGATTATTTGGAGTGTTCGGGCCGGCAGCGACCAAATGTTTATATCCTAAAGATTTAGGATACGTGTAAAAACAGACCAGCAGAAATCCTGTCGAATAGGAAAGGTAGTTACCTGCTATGAGACAACGAAGAAACTCAACAGGTGTCAAGAGGCCCAGATAGCGTGAAATGAGTGCTTTGTTTCTTCGCAGGACACCTGGGCTCTTATGGTCATCATGTTTACCCTACATTGGCCAGGACATAGAATTGAATGTTTCCAAGCTGATAAGAGTCTGGGAGTGAGGACGTGGGAGATTTAGAGAGTTTGATCTGATTTTGACAGGTTGATAGATAACTGACATGATTTGTACCTGGGGCTGGTCACTTTATCGTGAGATAATGATAATGTTAAACCAGTCTAGTTTGGGCCCTTGTCTTATCTGTATTACTTCCGATCTTGAATACTACCCTCAGGTCATTCCTTATCTAGCGCAATGAGTCACGGCCTCGCTACACGCGGACATCAGTCGTTAATCTGGGAATCTGTTTCGGCTCTGCTAATTGAGTATTGTTAATTAGAAAAACAAAACTAAATGTAAGATATTTACCAGGGTGAACGGAGTCAATCATTTTTTTCCACGCTGCGTACTGTAAAGGGCCCTTGAACCTTTCGATGGGTAGGACGGCAGATGTTACTGTCGTGTTTTGAATGTCGTCACAAATGCTGTGAGTTTTCAAAAGATTATGTCAGAAGTTTAACACAATCTTTTTTTTCCTGAAATTCTTGTCAAATCAGTTTCAGTAAAGACGGTATCCTACCTCCAGTTCTGGTTAACTTCCTCCTGAAATGTAAAACAAAGAGGAACAGTGAGGATAGTAGCTGAATTCATAATGAAACTAATTCCACAACAGAGCCATATTAGAGTCAATATGTCCTGTTTCTTCTCTCCACAAATGTTTCACAGGCCAGCTGAATTTCTCCTGCATTGATTTTTAAACTCAGTGAACGACAAAGCAAATAATATTGACTTTGGAAAGTGTAAGGAGACGATTTTTAAAAGGGCGCAAAAACAAAAATACTTTGCTCCACGTGCATGTTCTTTTAAACAACAAGTAAAACGTAAGTTGTCCTTAACTATGCCTTGTTGGCTAAAAAGCATCGACTGTCGATGTGGAGGCAGCCTCCTCCATAATAATTTTCAAAGTGGAACTTGAAAATTAAAGCGATGAATTGCAACAAATGATGAGCATAGGGAGTGGATTTGATTCACGGAAACAGAACAGTTGTTCTTACGAATTGTGGAATGATGCATTTAGTTGACCTTTGTATACTGAAAAGAGTCTTACATACAGTCACAGAAAGGCTCACACTGACCGTACGGGACACACATGCAGATGCATGATACACTCACATCACATTTATCTAAAACTGGAAATGTAACATGAGCTTCTGGAAGATGTTCACCTTATACAATACGGAATTCTCACAAACAAGTGTCAAGATCACGACGTTGCAGTCCAGAGAAGGAACAAATATTCCGGAGATACTTTGATGTATTTCTGTGACAACAATAGAATGCCCTCATAGAAACAAACACAGAAAATGCTTCAGAAATTCTGAACAGGTGTCACATCGGATTCGAAACGTCAGCTCTTCTTTTCTTTCTCCATAGATGCTGCCAGAACTGCTGAGTTTATTCAGCATTTTCTATGTTTGTTACAGATTTTTAGCAACCACAATATTTTGTATTTATTGCTTCTCAGGCAATTGGCGTTCACTTCTTTCAAGTTTGTGCCACAATTGCTGCATTTATTTCACTATTATCATCAGTTGTTTTGTCACTGGGTGAAGTTTCACTGATCTGACCTACAACATAATCCTCACCTTCAGAAATATCAGTTCGTCATTTTGCTCCATCTGTTTCTGCAACTTGGAAAATTTCTCTTTAATAAGATTTAAATTCTCCTGAATCTTCCGAAGGTTTTTCTGCATTGTTTCTAGAATCTTCCTTTCTTCTTCCTTGAGATCTCTGAGTAAACATTGCTCCTTCTCATTGAGAAAATGATGCATTTTAGTGAACTCGGATGTGATGTGGATCTGTAGACTACTCGCCCGTTCCTACCAAATGAAATGTGAAACATCATTAATGTCCCACGACAAAGGGAACAAAACTAACTGAGATTCCAGAAAATCTGCACAGGGAGACCTCACCCTCACTTCAGAAATCTTCTGTTTCTGGTTCACTTCCGTTTGTAGGGCTGCCAACTTCTTCTCCGTGAGATAATCTAAAGACGATTTCAATTGATCCTAGCATTGGGAAAGAAAATTACAGAATGAAAGCGTTTGACAATGAAAGTAATCGGATAATCAATTTTGTTCCTACTACCTTGTAGATTTCAAAAGCTTCTTTAATTGGCATAAAATTGTGAGATTTGTGTGCCCGCGAATCTCTACAAATCAGACAGATCAATGTCTTGTCAGTGTCACAAAACAGCTTGAATTCTTCCTGATGTTCCTCACAGTGAAGTTTACTTTCATTATCTTTCGGATTCAGCGTTAATTCTCGAGCTTTCTCAGCCAGTTTCGCTAAGGCCCGGTTTGCTCTGAGGTTTCTTTCCGGAACCTCCCTTCTACATTCCGGGCAGGAGTTTATCCTCTTCTTTTCCCAACTCTTGGTGATACAGGAGCGGCAGAAGTTGTGTCCACACTCCAGTACTACCGGATCTGTGAAGAAAGCAAGGCAAATTGGACAAATCGTCTCCTCGGTCCAACTCTCCCACTGCTGCCTGGATGCCATGTCGAAACTAAACACTTCCTGGTTCAAAGTGCTTTGAGTTTTAAAATCTATACTTTGCGGAATGCATTCAGTCCCGTGATTTCCCATTGAGGATCACTACAATGCTCAACAAGTCAGTGCCCTGCTTCAGTTCACCACCCCCCAATTCTACCCTTCTCTCCCCAGTTCTCTCACTTTATTCTGCTCTGAACTCTATCATCCTCTTTTGAAGCCGATGGTTCATAAGAGTCATATCCAACACATCCACAGTTCACGTCACGTCGAGTTCTTCATTTGAACATTAAACTAGTACAAGTTCAAACAGGGTTAGAGTTGAGGCGAGGTGGCTGAATTTTCTCAGAGCATTTCTCAATGGAATGAAGGAGAGATAGGGTAGGACAGGGGAGTTACAGGGCCAAGGATGTTTTGCTCTGCACAGTATACAGTGCCGACTACAGTCTGGGGAAACGTAGTATGACATCCAGCTTTAAGTATTGGGGTCATTAGAAGATTGAGAGATAATCATATAAGCATATGTACATAAGACACGGGGCAGGTGGAGGCCATTCGGTCCTTCAAACCTGCTCCGAATTCAATATAATAATGACCGAATTTTTGCCTTAGCTCCACTTTCGCTCTCAGTCGAGTTATCTCGTGAATCACCCCAATATTCCATAATTGCATCAGGAATATGTTTAACTCAGCCTTGAATGAGGATCCATAACCTCGTGGGTTGGATAATTTTGCAGATTCACATCGCAAGAATCTTCTATTTGTCTCATTCGCATATAATATTGAACATGTGCACAACACATCTCCCTGCGTTCTAGATCTACCAGTGAATAGAGCCAACCTCTCAGTTTTTACCCTTTGAAGCCCTTTCAAATATCATTTATCTTTCAACAGAATTATCTCTCAATCTTCAAAGACCCCCGAATACAGGCTCTCATTCTTTCAGCAAAATGTTTTATTTTTTGACGCAAACCATGTATTATCCCTTCCAAATAGCCATGTCCTGTCATTCCCACCATATCAAATCTGACTCACCCCTCATGCCTTTTTAGTTTCCATATTTTGATAGAAGTCCAGCATTCTGGTGTGAAATAGAACACGTTCAAATGGCATACAATATTCCACATTTTGTGGGTTATTTTACTTAATAATCTTTCGCAATTACTTTATTACCGGCACTTTCTGATTTTAACATGCAAAATCTAAAACAACCCATTCTGTAGTTGATTCCTCAACATACTATCCTTGAAAACCATCTTGTGTCTGATGCTGTAATTTATCCTCCTCAGCATTTAGGTTAATTATGTTTACGCTAACAATATTGATATCCCGTATCTTTATTTTAAAGAAAAACTAACTCCATTAAGTATACGGTGTCAAAAATAACGGGTATTCTTTGCCTCTGGAGTCTGAGATATTGTCTAGCAGGTAGCATTCATTCTAGGCCAGCAAAATTTAGTTAAGGTCATATTTAAGGTGGTTGGCAAAGGAGCACTCCTTTAAACTCCCTTTCAAAAGTGACTTGCATAAGATGAATAACATAAACGTTCATTGTCATCTGATAATGTTGAGACTCAAACTGGGATGTCCTGAGAATTAAGGGCTGACCCTTAGATTTTCTCTCCATGGATTATTGCGAAGGGAAGAGGGATAGGGATAAATTAGATGGGGTAGTAGTTAAATGATGAGAACATTATTTTCTTGATTTCAATACAGGTTTGGGGGGCAGCAGTGTTCCTCGTGGATCTGCAATTCTCGTGTCCTCTGCTAGATGGCACTCAGGCACACGGGTTTACCCTCAACCCTGAACTCCACAACAAAATTGCTTGATCCTTTCACTTCACTCTTTCGACTTTATCCCTTCCACTATTTGTGATTTTTAAAACAGTTCTGTGTAGCCCTGGTCTATTCCCCACTCCTCCTCACTGCCTTTACGTTTTTTCCTCTCGTTCACTCCATCCTTTGTTGACTCTGCTCTTCATCTCCCATTACTAGCCAACACACGCACACATACACCAACTCTGTCTCTCTCCCAGCAATCTTTTTTCATCCTTCCTCATGCTTCTTTCACCTTGAGTTCTCATACATTTCCTGATTTTTGCCATACGCAGTATTCCCTCTTCCCCAAACGTTCTGCCAATCCTCCCAATCTCAGCCCAAACCCACCACAACCTTCAACTCCCAACTCGGATTTTTCTTGCTTCTCAAACACCCCAGAGCCACTTTCATCTCCTATTCCCCCGCGTTCCCTTCTTCTCCTCTGCATTGCAACTTTCCTTCCGTTCCTTTTCACTTGCTCACTTTCCCCCTATGTTTGCCCTTCTCTTTCTTTGCAGATGTTTGAAATCAAACTGCTCAGAGATATTATACACTGCATGAGTAGTTGGGACTTGAACACTTCTTCTGTTTCAGAAGTAGGGACATTACCATTGAACACCCAACTTGAAGGAACCTTTTTTTTACGTACACAACCTTTCCTAATTAATGCGCTAATTTTATTTATATATCTAGGTGCGCTCGCATCATGCCCACAGAATTAGATTGTGTCCAGCGTATGTAGCAACAATTGTACACTGCTTGGAGTAAATGCCACTTCTAGATTAACTTCACTTCCTTTCCACTTCCCCATCTCTCAGCCCCTCGAGATGCACGCTATGCAGTTCTTGCTCAGTCTTCCTCATACACAAATCTCTCTCCTTTCTGTCTATCGTTCATTAACTTTCTTCTCAATGACAAAAATTCCTTGCGTGTTTGAATAATATTGACAACGTGACCCTTATTCAGAACACGTAAGATAATATGTTTTCTCTCCTCAGATGCTGCTAGACTTGCTGAGTTTCTCCAGAAATTTTTATTTCAGTTTAACGATCTGGATTTCGTCAGAACGTTTGAAATAAGCAGTTATCAGTCTGTAGCAGAGTTCAGAGAATACTCGCTTCCCACCCATCTCCAATTCTCTATTGCCCCGTCTGTGTTACTCCAAGTTCGAATCTGATCTCTTCCTCAGCATACGCAATGTGGAGCTGGAGGCAGGTCAGGGAACAGCATGTCAGGCAGATCAGAGGAATAGGAAAGTCGACGTTTCGGTTCGGGACCCTTCTTCAGAACTGAAGAGATACCTGAAACGTCGACTTTCCTACTCCTCTGATGCTACCTGACCCGTTGTGTTCCTCCAGCTCGCACTGTGTTGACTCTGACTCCAGCATCTATAGTTCTTGGTATCTTCTTCAGCATAAGAAGTTTAACACTCCTTCCTGTGAAAATATCAACAGGTCAAAAATCAGTTCTCCGAATAAAGGCGATTCATCAAGAAATTATTCAACTGAATGTGTTCATCAGCGCAGTAACACACGCCAAAGTTCCCACCTGCTTCAAGAAGACCACCATCACCTTAGTACCTAAGAAAGCGCATGCTTTTAACGTGCCTTAGTGACTACCGCCCAATGATTCTGACCTCCATAATCACGAAGTTCTTCGAAAGGCTGGTCATGGCGCATATCAACTCTCGAATCCCAGCCTGCCTCAATCCCTTGCAATTTACCTATGGACGTAACAGGTGCACAGCGGACGCCATTTCCCTAGACCAGCACTCATCTCTGGAACATCTGGGTAACAAGAACACCTATGTCAGACTCCTGCTCATCGACCACAGCTCCGCCTTCAACACCATTATTCCCTCCAGAATGATCTCAAAACTCCAAGAACTAGGTCTGGGGCTCCTTCTCTGCAACTGGATCTGACCTACAGACCGCAAATTCACGACTAGAATGGTCTCCTGCAGTCATCACTGTGGCTGTATTAGCCACTAGGAAATAGTATGAAGGATGAATGCCAAAAAAACACGTTCAATTGTGCGAATTTAAATAGACTCAAAAAGGACAAAGTCTGGTTGTTTGCTTGTAAATCTTTGAATAAGTCAGGACTGATTAACAAATCTGTCAGTTGATATCAATGCATGCGTGACTTTTTAATTGGCGACATGGTGTACAAAGACCAGCCAGACAAACTGCTCAAAAAAAAACTCAGGTATGTTATTGTGCAGCATTCCGAGCGCAACTTTGAAGGGGGGATGCAAAAGAGATCGTAGGAGAGGAATCCAAAAAGTTTAAAATTGCACGGATGAACTGGAACAGAGAAAACGAAAAGGCATTTGTTATGTCATCAACAAAGTTCGAAGAGACCAACTAAGAAGATAATATTTCCAATAACCGAAAGAACAATAACAAGAATTGATTGAAGAAGAGATAGCAGGAACTGCAGATGCTGGAGAATCCGAGACAACAAGGTGCAGAGCTGGATGAACACAGTAGGCCAAGCAGCATCAGAGGAGCAGAAAGGTAGACGTTTCGGGCCTAGACCCTTCATCAGAAGTGGGGGAGGGGAAGGGGGTTCTGAAATAAATAGGAAGAGAGGGGGAGGCGGATAGAAGATGGATAGAGGAGAGGATAGGTGGAGAGGAAACAGACAGGTCGAAGAGGCGGGGATGGAGCCAGTAAAGGTGAGTGTAGGTGGGAAGTTAGGGAGGGGACAGGTGAGTCCAGGGCGGACGGACAGGTCAAGCGGGCGGGATGAGGTTAGTAGGTAGGAGATGGGGGTGTGTCTTGAGGTGGGAGGAGGGGATAGGTGGGAGGAAGAACAGGTTAGGGAGGCGGGGACGAGCTGGACTGGTTTTGGGATGCGGTAGGGGGAGGGGAGATTTTGAAGCTTGTGAAATCCACATTGATACCATTGGACTGCAGAGTTCCCAAGCGGAATATGAGTTGCTGTTCCTGCAACCTTCGGGTGGCATCGTTGTG